GGGGGGTGGGGGGGGGGGGGAGGCAGTAAGAGGTGGAGAGAGAGACATGGAGGAGAGACCCGAAAATCCCGTCTTATGACAAGCTATTGGCTAGTATAATAAGAAAAGCCAAGAAGGAGTTTGAGGAACAACTAGCCAAGAACTCAAAAAGTAAGAGTGAAATGTGTTAAGTGCATCAGAAGCAGGAAGCCGGCTAAACAGCCAGTGCGGATCTTGGATGATCAAGATGCTAAAGGAGCACTCGGAGACTAGAAGGGCGTTGCAGAGAAACTCAATGAATCTTTGCTTCAGTCTTCACGGCTGAGGATATTGGGGAGATTCCCAAACCTGAGCCATTCTTCGTAGGGGACAAATCTGAGGAATTGTCCCAGACTGAGGTGTCGTTAGAGGAGGTTTTAGAACAAATTACTCAACTGAACAGTAACACGTCCCCAGGACCGGACGGCGTTCACCCAAGAGTCTGAAAGAATCAAATGGAAGATGCAGAACTATTCGCTGTGGTTTGTAACCTGTGCTTTAAATCGGCTTCCCTGCCCAATGACTGGGCGATAGCTAACCTGACGCCAATATTTAAAAGGGGCTCTAGAGGTGATCCTGGCAATTACAGACCGGTAAGTCGTATGTCAGTACCGGGCCAATTAGTTGAAACTCTAGCACAGAACAGACTTGTCAGACACATGGATGGACAGAATTTGTGGGGGAAAAGTCAACGTGGTTTCTGTAAAAGGAAATCATGCCTCACTAGTAGGATTCCTGTCCCAATGGGGCCCTGATTTCGGTCGGGATCTGGGCAGTGCCTGGCCCGACGGGGCCCTGATCTCGGCTGGGGTCTGGGCGGCATACTAGGAGCTCAACAAACACAGTGCCAGGGACAAGCCGGGCAGCAGAGACCCTAGAGAGTAAGAGCCCTCAGCAGAGAAAGCAACGTGGGCAGAGCCTGGAGGCCAGAGGCCCCGGTGATGGGTGTCCCTGGCACATTAGAGACATGGGTCGTGGCTGGCGGGTGCTTGGGTGGGGACGGAGGGTGCCAGTAAAGGGGCGGAACTGAGGGGCACTGGCAGATCCTGGGTGGATATTTGAGAGCAAATATTTACCAACCCTATGATCCGGGTTTATGGCCTGGGCATTCCCCCATTCCAGCTGTGTTTGTGGAGCGGCTGGCTGGGCGGCTCCCAGCCCCAGGCTGCATATAACAGGCCCTGGAGCCGGGCACGGCTCAGACGCGTTCACCTCCGAGCCGGAGCCAGCTCCCAGCCCAGGACAAGGTGAGGAGCAGGCCCAGCTGGGGGCAAAGTCCAACGGGCTTCCCAGGTGGGTCAGAGCAGGTGGGGGTCGGGAGCCAGGACTGCTGGGCGGGGCCGGCTGAGAACCCATCAGCCAATGGCCCTGGCCCCTGGCACCAGCCGTGAATCCGTGCGTGGGCGGAACCCGAGAGCCCCAAGGAGTCAGGCCCAGGACGGTCCAGGGGGAAACACCAGCCCCTTAGCCCCCGACAGGAAGGGCTGGAACGTGGGTTCTCCTCTTGCAGCTGTTCTGCTTGGACTCGGCAGTGAGTCACGGGGGCGGGGGTCCTGGGAACCAGCCCCCTCAGCGGCCGTTGGCGCTGTCGGGAGCGGGGGCTGCCCGTGGGGTCCTGCTGCCTCCTAGAAGCCGGAGGGACACGTGGCTGCTTCCTGGGAGCCGCGAGGGGCTGGGCAGGGCAGGCTCCAGCCCCACCAT